TCGATCAAATGGAATACAATCTATTTGAGGAACTTTGGTAAGTATTTCCTCATTCCAAACCCGAATTAGGATTTTAAGAGCCTATACATGTGTATTCTTTAATTTGTGTGTATTTTAGTAGATAACAGATACTGACTTGATTCCTTGATGAAGAACAGAACTTGGACATCTTCCGGCAGTGGGAACTTCTAGGAAAGAGTTTGGGACACTCAATTTTCTTGTCTTTGTATCATTGGACATGGTTTCATTTGACCATGTGACATATGACGAATGAGCCTTAACTTGTTTGAAAATCATAAGGAGATGGAAACCAAAAAATTTAAGAACTGATAAATGTTTGAATGTATGATAAGGAATAAAATTTATAAATGAAAAAAAACCACCAATAAAGTGAAAGGTTGAAAAAAGAAAACAACGTAAGAAAATAAATAAAAGTAGAAAATGAATTAATTATGGTTACAAAACAAATTAACTTAAATATATTTAAAGGAAAATAGAATAAAAGGGAAATAAATAAGGAATTGGAAAAGGAGCGAAAGTGAGTGACTAGTGTGTGGATCCTGGATATATTTTTCGTTTAGTCTTAATCAAGGAGAGGAATATGTGGCTAAAGTTCAACAGGTATGGTAAACCTGCACATGGATAGAGTTTGAAACCTAGTTCAGACGTGAATAAGTGTTTGTGAACGTGGGTCACCCAGCAAACACAACTGTTATGGCTAATGTGAGATTTTATGTGTATGTTATCCACGTGATGAGAGGATCTATTTTGCCTCTCCTCGACGATGATATAAATGGTATCGCGCGATAAAACCTTAGAAATGACATTTCAAGTGTATATATGTTCTTTTGAGTGTTTGTGGTGATATTTCGAGACTATAAATGATATTCGAGTGTAATTGAGAAATTCGGTCAGAAACATGTAAAATTATAATGTCAGAAACATTTGTATTGAAGAAGTAAATTCTGGTAAAAAATAGTGAAAATTATAAATAAATTTTATATTAAAAATATTACTACTACATTTATCTTATATTGTGTATTTTTGCATGATGTCTGATCTAGATTTTGGAAGAATGAGAATACTTATTGATTTGGTGAATTTCATTAAATTTTACTTTGATATTTTTCAGATGAGAAAGAAGAATCAGTACCGTTGCCGAATGAGTAGAACTTGTGAAAGGGTTCCAATTCATGTATATTTTGTTCATATTTTCAAATTTTTCGTTCTATTTTGTTAAACCTTAAATTTTAATATTATATTTTGTATATATAACTATTGTATATATCATATGAGATGTTAGATTTTGTATTAAATGTTTGAGCTGTGCATTTATATGACTTGTGGCTTATTGTATGAAAAATAGTATGAGTATATTTGCGCTTTCTTATTGAGTTGAGGCGCTACATTTTGGCCTACCCATGCTCACATCGGTATATGCTAGATGACAATATGCCTATATCCTAAATTCAATTCAATAAAATAAGACAATTATATAGAGAAAACTTCCATCCATAATTATATCAATATCATTCAAGTGTGAACTTAAATTATTATAACATATATAAAGTAGGAGCAATTCTCTTTATTTATTTCATTGCATGCATGCATATCTACAATGTTGATGGAATCTGGATAGTTCAAAACCTAAAAGCTGGCTAAGAAAATTTAAATGTGCATGTATCAAACAACTAAATTTAATTACAGGTATTTATTTTAATTATTAGAAAACAACTTATAACTATATATATATATATATATTGAAAATTAAAATAATATTTTATTGTATATAACCATATAATCCACTAAATGCAACTAAAGGCTAAAATCGAAGACAGACACATAAGATATTTAAAAATTATGACGCACATCTAAATACTAAAAGACCAAGTAACCGGTGGTAAAAGAAGAAGAATTTATTATTGTAATACGTTAATGGTTATAAATTGAATTATATATTCTCCTATAAAACCAAATTATTATCAACTAAACTTGAAATTTCATATTATCTTCATTTTCATAATTTTTTGATAAAATTTATTCTTCGATAATTGAACTGCATGTGAATTTATCTCAATAAAGTGAATCTTTAAAAATAACATAACTCAAAGTAAAATAATAATTTCATAAATACTGGGTTGGATGGGGGATAATTTAGTAGCTGGCTAAGTCAAGAAAGCCCACGGTTAAACTTCTTAATCTGGTCTCTCAAAAAGTAGCCCATCAAATGCGCACACAGCTAAAAACAACTAGAGAAGAAGAGCACCGAAAATGGAAAAAATGAAAATGAGAATCTCTGATGTCTGATGTAATATACTCCTCTGTAATCGAAGTCTTATTTCAAATTTCGTCTAATCAACAATGATTCACATTCTGACTTTGAAAAAGAAAAAACAAATTGTGATTATCGAAGAAAAACGAAAGTTCAAGCACTACTGGTTGATGCATTTGCAGTTCCATCTCCAAACCGAAGTTCATTAAGTTGATGCATAAGCTGTTCCTCTCTGCTCACAATTCCAATCATGCTTCCTATCATCTGTCTCTATAAAAGCAAAGTTCTGGTTCCTTCCAATCATCCACCGACTCACTTCCCTCAATACTAATTTGGATGAAATCGTCATCGTCCCCTGACTCTGTTGGGAATACTGGGTCGAGCTTGAACCCTTCTTCATCGAAGTTCCAACCACTTATTCTTCTTTCTTCGGTGATTGGAATCAGTGAATCGTCCTCATCTACAAGGCGATCACCAACTCTGTACGAAGCCTTCATATCCTTGAGCCGTTTTTCGACGCTAGGCAATCCACTTAGCAAGTTTTTCAAAAGGAATTCTGCGCCTCTGCAGTTCTTGAAGAAGGAATGCTTCAAGAGCTTATCTGCAGTTGGTCTCTTGGCTGGATCTTGATTAAGACACGAAGCCACCATGTTCCTGAAAGCCTTTGAGAACTCCTTGCCAGTCTTGCTCCTTGCGTGATCCGAGAAAGGAAACCGCTTGGTTATGTTGACGACCAAAGACTTTGAAGGCAGAAAACGAGACAGAGGAGGTCTTCCATGAGCTAATTCGAGCGCCGTTATGCCAAAAGACCAAATTTCAGCCTTGAGATTGTATCCAGTTTGCGAGTGTATAACCTCAGGCGCAATCCAGTAAGGCACCCAGGCCACATCAGCGGAAGACGGCAATGCTGAGAACGAATAGTCCGACTCGTAAATTGAGGAGGAGACGCCGAAATCAGCGAGCTTGACAGACCCATTTCCGTCCACAAGAATGTTCCCGGCCTTGATGTCTCTGTGTAAGCAGCCCTGGTTGTGGAAATAAGACAATGCGTTAAGGGTTTCTTTCAGGACTATTGCAATGCATTGCTCCGGTAGACCGTCGGGGAAGGAAGAAGAAATGATCGAGTGGAGGGAACCGGAGGACATGAAGGGCATGACAACCCAAAGATGGCGATCAACGGTGAAACAACACAGAACGTCGAGGATATTGGGGTGGGAGTGAAGGGACATGGTCTTTGTTTCACGTCTAATGTAGTCAAGATGAGTTCGAGATCGAACCAGATCAATGGCCTTGATGGCAACCACAGTTGAGTCCAATGGCAAGCAAATTGCTTTGTAAACCTTGGCACTGACGCCCACGCCAATTTCGTGGAGGATATCGTATGCATCTAGGTCTAGTGGGTATTCAATCTTCTTGGGGTCTTCTAGTTCTTGATGAGCCATAACTGCAATTCTTGATCTTTTGGAGAAGATGGATTAGGGGAGATAAGGTTGAGGATTGAAGTCGAACAGAGAAAAAGAAAAGTGGGGATCTTTTTTGAGCTTTGGGAGGGGAAGATAGTATTTATATCGAGAGATCGTAAGAGGATGCATGTGAATGGCAATTGGCTATGGTTACCAAATATATAGAAGAAAATTTTATATGCAGAGAAAGTAGTTATATATTATTTAATAATTTTTTAACTTTTTACTGTTTATCTATATATCAATATATCAAATAGTTAGTTGTTTTCCAGTTATTCAGTTAAAATCTTAAAGAAATCAAGAGATTGAAAAAAAAAAAAAAAAAAAGAATCTTTAAGAAAAAGCGTCTCAACGACAAGCTCTCAATAAATAAGAATATTTTTTTAATTTTATTTAAATAGATAAAAATTAATTAATAATATATTTATTTAAATTTATATTTTACTATAAATTTATTAAAATCTTATTATTTTCTTTACCATAGTAAACTCATTATGTTTCAATCATTTGAACTTAACACATTCGATTTTTTTTTTTCTTGTAATATATATATTTAAGCTTCAAAATATAAACTAATAAAATTTTGTATATTTAAGTCCATTTAAATTTTTATTTTCAAACTATTAAAATTTAAGTTTATATTATACTTCTCTTTTAAATTAGAATTCCAATCGTAATTTTAAAATTTTCTTTCTCTTTTAAATTAGAGTTTCAATTTTAGTTTCAAATTTATTATATTATTTTCTTATTTTTCCAGTAGTTCTTCATTTTATTTTATTTAATCGTATTTAAACTTTTCATTCGTTTTTATATACTTAATCATCGCGTTTTTATTCCGTAAAAAAATTCTATCATCTTATGTTCCTCTACTTCTACATATGAGTAACTCAGAAAAATTGTAGTATAAATTTTTTTACTTATATAATTTTTAAGATTTATATGGATATTATAAACATTAATAAAGTTAATGTTAAAATGACAAGTCTCAACCCTTTTCAAATAATTCAAAGATCTTATAGTGCATGAACTTTGGGAGCTTGTGGTTGAGACACTTTTTCTTACAGACTATTTTTTTCAATCTCTTGATTTCTTTAAAACTTAAACTAAATCACTAATCGATAACTAATTTTTTTGATACGATAGGTAGATGATCAATAAAAATTTATTTAAAAAAAAAAACTGTTAAATAATATATAACTACTTTAACATACATATAACTAATTTTTTTTCCTATATATTTTGGTGCCCAATTGCCATTTCATGCATCGTCGATATATCACTGACTACAATACTATCTTCCCCTCCCACTTTTCTTTTTCTCTCTTCGACTTCATCCTCAACCTTATCTCCCTTAATCCATGTGCTCTAGAAAATCAAGAATTGCAGATATTGCTCATCGAGAAGTAGAAGAGCGCAAGAAGTCTGAATACCCACTAGACCCAGATGCATACGAGATCCTCCACGAAATTGGCGTGGGCGCCAGTGCCAAGGTTTACAAAGCCAAATGCTTGCCATTGGACTCAACTGTGCTTGCCGTCAAGGCCATTGATCTCGATCGATCTCGAGCTGATCTCGACGACATTCCACGTGAAACCAGGACCATGTCCCTTCTCTCGCACCCCAATATCCTTAGTGCTCTCTGTTCTTTCACCGTTGATCGCCATCTTTGGGTTGTCATGCCCTTCATGTCCTCTGGTTCGCTCCACTCCATCATTTCATCTTCCTTCCCGGACGGTCTACCGGAGAAATGCATTGCAATAGTCCTGAAAGAAACCCTTAACGCATTGCGTCATTTGCACAACCAAGGCGACCTGCACAGAGACATCAAGGCCGGTAACATTCTTGTGGACGCAAATGGGTCCGTCAAGCTCGCTGGTTTCAGCGTCTCCGCTTCAATTTACGAGTCGGGCACTTCGTCCTTGGTCTTGCCTTCTTCGTCCATGGTATTCACTGATGTGGCCGGGATGCCATACTGGATTGCGCCTGAGGTTATACAAACTGGATACAGTTTCAAGGCTGACATTTGGTCTTTTGGCATAACGGCTCTGGAATTAGCTCATGGACGACCTCCTCTGTCTTCACAGTCTTTGCCCGTCAACATAAACAAGCGGTTTCCTTTCTGGGATCAAGCAAGGAACGCGACAGACAAGAAGTTCTCGAATGCTTTCAAGAAAATGGTGGCTTCGTGTCTTGATCAAGATCCCGAAAAGAGACCCACTGCAGATAAGCTCTTGAAGCATTCTTTCTTCAAGAACTGCAGAGGCGCAGGTTTTCTCGTGTGCAACTTGCTGAGTAAATTGCCTAGCGTCGAAGAACGGTTCCAAGAAATGAAGGCCATGTACCGAATTGGTGATTACCGAGAAGACGAGGACGATTCACTGAGTCCATCCATCAACGAAAGAAGAATAATTGGGTGGAATTTTAATAAAAAAGGGTTGGAGCTCGACCCAGTATTCGCAAAAGAGTCAAGGGACGATGAGGATTTCGTCCAAGAAAGGACTGAGGGAAGTGAGCCGGTGGATGATTTGAAGGTGCCGGAAAATATTGAGATTGAGGAGGAAGGAAGAAGCGAGAGAGCAGTTAGTGGGACTGAATTACGCATCGGTGTTAATAAAGAAATACTGATGAGGGGTTTAACGGGACTGATGGCAAGTTTGGAGGATCAGAGACAAATGTTAGAAAGCATGATAGGAAGCAGAATCAGAGAGGAACAGCTTACGCATCTACTTAATGTACTTTCCTCTCGATTAGAGAGGTTGAAGATTGAATTGGAGTTTGAGAAGGAAACAACCTTTGCTTTGGAGATGGAAAAGGAATTTCTCGAGATTCAGATGTCTGCTACTGCAAATGAATCAACCAGTAGTACTTGAAACTTTTGTTTTTTCTTCGACAATCAAAATTAGTTTTTTCTTTTTCTAGTTCAGGATGTCGATCTTGGTTGATTACACAAGATTTGGAATAAGACTTTTGATTACAGAGGACTATATCAAATCAGAGATTACACAAAATTTTCGGAGCTCTTGTTTTCTAGTTGCCTTTTTTGAACAATTGTGATTGGGCTTAAAATTGAAGTTTAACAATGGGCCATCTAGTTTTGATATTGGTCAAAAGCCATGGGCTTCTTGACTTATTGAGATTATTATTTCACTCTTGAGTTACGTTTTTTATTTTAAAGATTGACTTTATTGAGATAAATTACCCAAAACAAAAAAATAAAAATAAAAAACAAACAAACTGAGACAACAAATAGTTATTCTGTTAGCAACAAAATAACTACTTTCATAAATTCAGTTAGGAAAGAATGAAATTTTATTAAATTAAGATAATATGAAATTTCAAGTTCATTTGGTAATAATTTAGTTTTATAGGAGACCGTATAATTATAGTTTAAATCCTATAAGATAAAATACTATACGAATTAGTGAGAAGAATATAAATATATTTCATTAACCTATGTTATTTCCTAGAGACTATATTATTTATCTTCCACAAACATAATTTTTTGTTAATTTCAAAATTTCAAGAATAAAATTGTCATAACTATAATTTAATATAATTACATATTATACATTTCAACAAATTTTTTTTTTTTTAAAATACACAAATTAATCTTTAGAAAAATCAGGATCATGAGCTGAGGCTCAGACTTAGACGCCAGTCTTTAAATGAAGCACAACCATTAAAAACCTCCAACTGCAAATCTCACCTTCGTAATACCCAAAAAGTAGTGCATCAGGGTTTGGTGGTATCCTGCGAATTACACTTAAAAAAAAATTCTCATTAATTTAAGACATTAATCTGTGAAATGATTAGTTTAGATTGATGGATGGGTCGGTCTGTCTTCTCTTAGTAAGTTGATAGAATGTTTTATCATCAAGAGAGAAAAAAGCCTACGTGATAAAGCAATTATATAAACGTAGAGCAATTAGAAAATGCTACATATATATATATATGTATAATATAAAAATTAATAAAAGCCCAACTGAGATTGTAATGGTGGGTTTCAAATTTCTATAAGAAAAAAAACCTAAGAGTGGAAGAGACGGCAACGTGTTACACTGCGGGTAAACCCTGCAATTTGGGCTGTATAACCACATAAAATGAAGACCATATTTAGCATGGGATGAAGTCAGTTAATTGGGCGATAGGTTTTTCAATAGATCTTGGCTAAATGGGGCAGTATCTTTTGTCTATCTCCCTTAGCTTACCCTATTTTTCACTAGAAAATACCAACCAATCAATCTTTCTTTTCAAATAACATTCATCTTCTTCTTCTTCTTCTTCTGACATTTCTCAATCCCCTCCCTCGTCTGCTTTATTGAAACAAATAAATTTATAATCTTAGATGTAATAAAATTATATAATTACGTCATTTAAAGATGTAAATTGATGACTTACAATATGCTATATGTAACTAAATAAAAAGATCATAAAAAGATATTATATATATATATATATATATATTTTTTTTATTGAAAGTCATGATTTTTTATGCGTTTCAAGGATAAGTAACTGAATTACATAACATGGTTTTGTTAATTCTTTTTTTTGTAAGTTTATGATATATGCTGTGGAAATTCAAAATAAATTCACTTATCATTTAAAGAAATAATATGTATAATTGATCATTGACAAAATTATGTAATTAATTATGTATTTTAGTGTTTGTCGACTTTTATCGCAATTTATGTGATTATATAATTTTAATTTTATCTTCTACTAATTTTTTTAACTCATTTTAAATACTCTAATTTAATAAATATGTTTAATTTTAAAAGTGAAACTAAATTATACTAACTAATTTGCAGTAGTTCAAGAAATAATTGCACTTAGTCCCCTCATTCATTGATAGCATTCCGTTAAGGACAAAGTGCCATTGTATAAGCAGACGCTTTTTGCGGTCAATTTGAGATCCACATTAGGATTTCTTTGGGGATACTAATATTTATTATTAAATATATATCTATTTTTTTTATTATATTAATGAAACTTAGGAAAGAAGGAAAATACTTGCAAGCTATTTGTTTCACGGTATTATTATATTTAATTTTTAATAGAAATTTTATATTTTTAAATACTATTTGCGTGTTAAATAAATGCTAGTGTTTTGTGAAAATTCATTAAAAATTGTTTTTACTTATTAATTTAAATTTCAAGATAACCAAACTTATGAAATCAATAAACTTTGCAATTACTAGTTTCATGAGTGAATATTTTTCCTAAAAAAAAATCAATAAACTTTAAGTTTCTTATTATTTTTTAATTTAATATTTTTTCTTTTTTGTTCATATTATTTTTTCTATAGATCAAAATGAACTTATTTAACTTTCTACTGATAATCCAATTACTTTCTTTACTTTTAAAAAATTTTGATTTAATTTAATAGAGGAACGATCTTGTTGGTTCTCTAGAGAATAACTTTATTTATTTGCATAACAAAAAACATCGATGGATTTTCTTAATCAAATATAATCTTAGTAATTTATTTAGCTATATTATAAAGATACTATTCTTTAGTCACTTTGTTTGTTTGTTTATTTCTTAGTAAATTTTTATTATTGGTAGTATGGGAACTTATATGCAATACGATGATGTTGTTATATTATAATTTTAAAAAATAATTTGGAACTCTATATCAAATTTTATACCAAAAATTATAGAGTAAGATCAAATTCTATGAAAATTATTATATTAAGATCAAATTTTATGAAAATTATTCTGATCTTATCATTCATTCAAAATATCAAAATATAATTAATAAATATTGATTGAATGTAGTAAATCTAATTCTTTTTGTAATAAATTTGACAAGATAATATTTGTTTAATTATAAGAGATAGAAATTACTTTTTGAAACTTTCTCTAATACATAAAAAATATTCAATTAATACATATATATTTTATTTTTTGAGGGAAAAATGGTGCAACATCATTTAATTACACAGGTTTAGAACTATCATGCAATCCAAGTTATTGAAACTATCATGTACAATGTAATTAACATGGGGATTTGCAAAAAGTTCTTTATACAAAGGTATGGGCATTTGTATTATAACCTCCACCAATCCAAGATATTGAGACCAAAACATAATAACAACTTTAAAAAAAATAAAATCTTCGACAAGCAACCTAATCTTAGAGTTAAAGGCTAAATGAGAACTTAAAAGGTTAACAACATGCTATGAATCTCCCTTAACATGAATCTATGTGAGACCTAGGCTAGTATCAATTTGCATCCCATCCACCATAACTTATGCTTCAACAATTTTAATTGTCCTCGAGGTTGGCACCCGCCTCATTCCAACAAATATATTAACATTATCGTTATCTCTACACACCACATTTTAACTTGTGCACTAGCTCATGCTAACTGACGCATCACAATTTATCTTGCGCATATCTTGTTGCAGTAGACACCAACGTTCATTACTAGTTTACTTGCCAATAGATCCTAGAGCAATAGTCTAGCATATGAATTAAGGTCGATAGAAATGTAACTTCAGTAACCCATCTTTCATTTCTAGATAATTTAATCATCTTTTGTCATTGCAATCAAAAGAAACTATAAGAAATTATGAAGAGTATGGAACAATCAAGTGGCTAGTTAGGTTAGAAATTGAAAATACAAAAGTCTTCTATCATATTCAGCAAAAATATTAAGAAAAAAGAGCAAAAAGCTTTTAAAAGAATTATTAAGTTGAAAGATGCTATAAGTGAAATAAAGTATCTGGGTCTCCCATTATTCCAGAGTAGAGTCACATAAGAAACTTTTGAGAGACTTATAACCAAATTTAAATCATAGCTTGTAGAATGGAAGGGTAAGTTACTTTCATATGTTAGCATGTCTACTTTAATCAAGTTAATCATAAACTCTATTCCCTCTTAAAACTTGTTTACATTTATCATTCCCTAAAAAATCTAAGATAATATAGATGAACTAACGACGAGATTTTGGTGAAATTACAAAGAATTGAATAATAGGAGATTTACTCCGATTAGCTGGTCTAATTTTCATAAACCTCGATCTCTCCGAGGTTTAACTTTCATGAAAATGTTTTAATATGGCATTAGTTGGCAAATTGATTTGGAACTGATTAATGATTAGAAATGACCTTTGGTAAAGTGAAGTAAAGCTAAGTATTTAAACAAGCCAATTTCCACTCTATACTAAGGGGTAGAGGAAATTCTTTTTCCTAAAAAGGTCTTATAAAAATTAGAGATATAATTAGAAAAATATCATTTATTCATATTGGTAATTAAGATTCTATCTTAATTTAGAAGGAACTTTATATTCCTAGCTTAGATGGACTTGTCCCTGTACCTAAAGATAGTTCTAGTAGTATTCTAGTAAACTAACTTATTGATCATATTATAATAAAATGATATGAGCATCAACTAGATAAGTTGTAATACCCAGTTGGGTATAAAAGAAAAAAATTATAATAATAAAATCTATATATAATTAATTAAAAAAAAGAGAAAAAAAAGAAAACAAAAAAAAGAATAGGCTAGAGGCATACACGCCTCTGGAAGCAAAAGAAGAGGTCTAGTTATATGTACATATACATATATATGTGTGTATATATATAATATAATAAAATAAAATAAAACAGAGAGAAAAGAGAGGGTCAAGTGGCTAGAAGAGAGAGGGAGGAGTGAGAGATAAAGGTCGCGACCAAGAAAGGGAACGGCGAGGGAGATCCAGAGAGGAAATGGGTCGCGTGGTGTTGCACAACACCGCAACTGAATGAGAAAGAAAGAGGAGGAAGGTTGCACGGGTTGTGCGATGTGGTGGTGCGTGACCGGAAGAAAAAGGAGAAGAAGAAAGAGAAGAGTCATGGTTAGGTAGAGAGAGAAAAAGAGAGAGAAG